AAGCCCTAAAACCCTAAACCCTCAGCCCTAAAACCCTAAACCCTAAACCCTAGCCCTACACACTAAGACAGCCTGCGGCATGGTACACAGCACGGACACGGCACCGGCAAAAGCTCCCGCAACTCCATTGTAGACGGGGTTGCCTTACTGGTTGGTGGGTTTAGGGTTTAGGGTTTAGGGTTTAGGGTTTAGGGTTTAGGGTTAGTAGATAGAATATGGGGTATATGGGGATCTTACCATAATATACCCAAAGCCATATTCTATCTACTTGGAGGGGGCTAGAACCCTAAAGCTTCATGTAGGTACTATTTGTAGACTTTCTGGCCCAAAGTAGGTATCAGTTACAGACTTAGAGCCCCAGGGTACGCGACATGTTAGAGTCAGCTTAGGTGTATACCATTGTTCTGGTATATTAGAACACATGGAAGTCTCCAAAACCAGGGGTCCCTTGTTTTACGTCCCAAACATGAGGTTTGTAGGGTATCGGGAGACATGATGAAAAGGAGCCCTGGATAGGTTAATGGGAGAACCTACGGAGGGGGTCATACTTGGGCAGTAATGGAGCTACATGGGAACCCCTGTGGGCTTTAAGTAACTACCATATACCTACATGGACCCTCTGGGAGAACCCAGGGGTCGCTTAGAGGTTTAGGGTTTTGGGGTTAGGATTGAGGGTTGGGGGTCTGTTATATCTGAAGGTGCCTGGGATATCTACCTGATAGCCCGCATCCTAATGTTGGATTCAGAAAGTTAAGCCCTCAACCGCTATTACACTGCCCCAAGAAGCCGAGCACCAACAAGTGAATACTTGGTATTTGGGCAGTAATAGTTGTAGTAGAAATTTCGGGAGGAGTACAGGGCTCCTAGGTACTTGACGTCAAACCAAATCTGCAATGTCCGCGGAGTGCTGCAATGTAGACGCCCAAGTTCATGTCAACGTTTCTTTCAGTTACCCTCGACAATCAGCGTATACAAGGAATATGCGACCTGATAGTACTAAATTATCCCCTCGAACCCCTAAACCCCAAACTCTAACCCTAAACCCAAAACCCACTACATGAGCCCAGTTTCCAGGTAATTGTTCATCTTCTTTTCCAGCTGATTCTCCATTATCCAAAAGCCCTAAATATGCCTTATAAGCCTGTCAATCAGAACAACATATCGGTAGTTCTTCCCTGAAACTATTCAGGCCCCTCTGTAATCCCCCCGAGGCCGAAGCCCTCTCTTAACCCTAAACACCAAACAATACACCAAAAAAACCTGAACCAAACGCTTGGTGATCGACTCTCAAGGCTCTTGTCGCCGCCGGTCAGGAACCTGGAACAAGCTGCATCTTTCCCCACATCGTAGCGCTAGTTATCCAACACAGTAACCCTAATGAAGGGGGAAGCTACGGAGCAGAAAAAGCACCATAGAGGAAGCCGCACTCCAAAACCCCCCAAAACCGTATGAAAACGCACGCTGAACCCAAGACTCTTTGGGATCTAAGGTTCTGAGGTGCTTTCGGGCCTAAAGAGTTCCCAGTTCCTAAACCCTGAACCTTAAATTTAAACCCTCCTGTTAGGAGTTACAATAACCCCCCCCCCCAATGGACCACCCCCCAGGGTTTCAGAAGCTAATGAGGACCATATGGAGCTTAATTAGGCCTAATAGGGTTCCAAATTTGGGGGGGGTACATGTCCATCTCCTAATCCTGTTTACAGGTGTTGGGTTTCCTTGCTCCTGAACAGGAACTCGAGATGTAGCGAATCACAGCTTTCAATTTTCCACAGATGTGGTTCCTGAGTGGCAAGAGTCCCTTTCTAAGTAGATAGATGAAGGGATATATGGAAATCTGTTGATGTGTCGATCCGATATGCATGCTGTTGTGGTTCCAGGTGGCTACGTAAACAAGCCTTGGGCCATGATGGAACATGTAGTGAAGCTAAGACATAGCTTTCGTTATCTTGCAGCTTGCGTAAAAGGAGTACTCACGCGTTTGTGCTGAGCCATGGACTCAACTTCCCGGTATCTTGCACCCGACCCTGTGGATTCAGGTCCCCTACCTTATCAGGGTATGAGCCCAACAGCTGTTTTGGGTGCGACTTTGGGGAGTGGAAGGCCTACGTCCTTTGCACCTCAGCAGATGCCGATCAGTTATGGTTCGACTACTGCCCCTGCTCCTGCTAGACAGCCTATGGCCAATGGTGTGGCCCCTCAGGTATCTGGACAGGGCTCCTCGCAACTGCATAATGCTGCTACAGGTTTTGGTGCAACTGGTGGTGTGGAAGGAGAAGCTCCCTGCGGCGTTGCCACCGGACAGGTCGCGTATACCACAACCGGACCGGACGACGACGGCGCCGTACGGTTAAGGGTTAGGGATGGGGCTGAGCAAGCAAGCACACAGCATCCTCCACCCCACTCAGCCAGCATGTCATCACAGCAACTACCATTACCACCAACCATGCGGCAGCCGCAGCAGCAACAGCAGCATTTGTCGGCAGAGACTACATCAATGCCTTCAGATGTGGGTCAAAGAATAGAGGGTCCCCAACCTAATCCTCCTGTGGACATGTCGCCAGGCACACGCCTTACTGTGGAGGCGCAAAGAGCTATGGCTCAGTTGGCATCTCAGCGGACTGCGCTCGTGCAAGCTCTCAGTTCAGGGCGTTGATCAAGGAGCCCCAGCTCAGGATGAGACACCTAACGGGGAGGTTGTTTGGTATTCTCGCTTGCATGGCTTCCTTCGTAGACGAGTTGTAGATCCAGTACGCGAGCAAGTGGAGAATCTTAGAAGGGCAACCCCTATAGCGTCTCCTCAGTCTACATGGTTGTCGGCCCCATCATCGCCCGAGCAAGTGCTTGACCCGGATGTTCGGCAGGCCATGGTGCAGTGGACCGAGCGGAGGACTTCGCTTCTTGATCGACCCGCTCAACAAGGCGAGATGCTTTCAGAGGGTACCGTGCAGGAAGAAGTACGTAGGCAAGTCCAATCGGCACTTCAGCGAAGAGATCAGCATGTGCAAGCCCTTCAGTCTGAGAACCTAGAACTGAAGCAGATTGTGCATGATCTGTTACAAGCAGGGCTGCCTTCGAGGGGAGCTGAGATATTTCAAGGAATGGATGGCCCAGAAGGGGCTGCGGGACCGCAGGGCTTCGAATCCTGCGCTAACCCGAGCCGAGGCGGTCCAGGTCCTGATGATCGGCAAGGGGACTCTAGAAGGCTGCCTGCTTTGCCAAGTGTTGGGGCTCAAAGGGATCCAAGCAATCCCCATGAAGTAGAGCTACAACCTCCAAGGGATCCAGGCAATCCCCCTGAAGTAGAGCTACAACCTCGAAGGGATCTGGGGCATCCTCCTGGTCTATTTCCTCATTACGGACAGGAAGCCAGCAATCCACCTACAGTACCAGGACTAGGACATGCTCGTCAAAGGGATCCCATAAGAGCTGTAGAGCATCAACAACCGGCAGCGCGTATCCTTCAGGATGAGGCTACAGGCGTTAGACTCGGAGAAGGCGGCAGAGAAGCTGCAGGGAATTCTTCGGGGGCGACTGGCTTAGCTCTACCACGCCTGAGCATGGAGCAATTCCTGCGGAACAAGCTGGTGCGGGATCGGGAGATGTAGGAAATCCTTTGGATCTCCTGGCAAAAGGGATTCAACAACTTCAAGAACTACACCTTCGTAAAGAATCCCAAGACCCCGAACTCCTCAAAGGGAACATCGAGATCCCGAAGCTTCCAGAGCCCTACCAGGAAGGAAGCGCCGGGGCCTTCTTGGAGTGGGTGTACGAAACTGGCCAAGTGGTGGGATCGATAACGGATCGCGCTGCGGTTTGGTGGGACAACAACCTGGCTCTGGCGCTGCAGGCGTACAAGAGGTTCCAGCTGGAATCGCCCTTGAACCGCTTGAAGATCCAAGTCGGAGAGGCGACGGGTGTGGATGAGCAGAAATGGTCGCGGCTGGAGAAGCGGGTCATGACGCCTTTTGCTTCAGTCCATGCCTGGAACGATTAAGAACGAGATAACTATGCTGCGCATATCCAAGGTCAAGGACTGTCTCTTCAAGTTGTACTCCATCTACGCTCCAGGAGGTGCTACTGAGAGAGCCAGTTTGATCAGACAACTTGAAGCGATCCCCGCCCAGGAGACTGTCCTGGATGTGACTTTGGCCTTGAGGAAATGGAAGAGGCTGTTGGGCCGTGCTTCCGAGATGGGTGTTTCGTTGCCGGATGGATCTGTTCTGTTGGTGGCTGTCGAGGCGGCAACTCGTAAGGTGGTGGAGGGGCATAAGGACATAGCCTTTAAGCTCAACATGGCCAAGCAGAATCTGCAGCTACCCCATCTTCCCTTGGTGGCATCGGTGTTAACGTATGTGGATCATATCTTGGCTGAGTTGCAGCAGGTGATCCCCTTAGGGAACGACGCCATTAAGCTTAAGGGCCTCCAGTCCGACCCCAGCTCACCTACGTCCTCAACCAACAGTCCTACAAGACCTGGCGGAGCGAAGAATGCTTGCAAGCACTTTCTCTCAGATGATGGATGTAGAAGGGGATCGTTGCGCAAGTACGCGCATGACTTCGCGTCCAAAGACGAGAAGAGGAATCGCTGCTGGGATTGTGGAAGCACACGGCATCGGCGTAAGGAATGCCCAGTGACTGCTAAACAAAGGGGTTCACGGTCTACGGCTACCTCTGCATCTCAGAAGGCCGATGCTGTGCCTTCGAGTTCGACTATGCAACCTCCACTTCTTTTGGATGTGCTGCAAGAAGCGGCTGCTCCTAGGACAGAAGCACAAGCGCTGCCAACGACAGATACTACTTCCTCTGCGGCTTCAACGGTCCTTCTGAACAAGAACAAGGAGAAGGACGTCCAAGAGTTGCTGAGGGAAGCCAATGCCGTGCTAAACAATTCGTGAAGCTCCAGGCTCTGCAGGCCCAAACCCACATGAGTGTGGGGGAGCTTGATGGAGTGATTCGGTCTCTAGGACTGGTGGATGGCGAGCCGTCAGCCCTTCTGGACAGCGGAGCTTCTCACCCCTACCGTGCGCCTCGTGACAACAAGGAGCACCATGAGGCGAAGCGGGTTGCAGTGCAGCTAGCTGATGGACGAACTGTACGCCTGCGCCAAACCAGTGGAGGGACTCTACTTCCAGCTGCCGAGCTCTACGGCATCCTGCACCATTTTGCCACTTGGAAGCTTGGTGGAGTCGCTGGGTTGCTCTTTGCGGTGGAGTAAGAAGAGGGGCCTTCAGGTGTTTCATCCTCGATATGGTTTGCTTCCGACCAAGTTGGTGGGCAACTGTCCAGTTCTCCGAGAGCATGAAGCTTTGCAGCTGATCAGTGACTTGGAGGATTTAGAACTGGCCCGCCTTCGAGACCAAACGATGGTTGGAGCAGTCCAGACTCTGGATATGGACGGCTCCTCTCTGATGGATTGGCGTTCGCACTTGGAGGAATTCCTTAGCAGTGGCCAGCGGATCTCCCTGAGAAGGATGCTTCGTGATCAAGGATGTCCTCTTTATGAAGAAGGTGAGTCGAAGCGCATGGCCATTGTCGGAGACTTGGATTTGAACTTCTCGGAGTCTGCGGGTGTGAAGTTTCTCAAAGCCCTACCTTTCAGTAGGGCGCGAAGGCGAAGGCTGCTAAGGACACGTTGGGCTGTTCACTTGTTCAGTGGCGAGGATGGAGTGAATGAGTTCATGGCCTTGGAAAATGATGATACCACTGTAGTGAATGTGGACGTTCGTGTGTCGAACGGCTTGGACTTGATGGATGATGGGGTGTTTCGAGCCCTCATGCGGGCAGCTGGTCGAGGTCAAGTTGAGGGTGTCTTTGGAGGACCTCCTCGAGGGTCAGGTGAAGGGCCACCTCTCTTGATCAGCCGAATGATGATGCTGTGGATGTTAGCGAGCCAGGGAGCAGCCCGGGAAGGACTTCGCACGCCGTTCTTTGCCATGGAGCTGCCGCCGAGACATCCTTTCTGGAGGAGTTCTACATGGGAGCGCTTCAATGCTGAGTATGACTTCCCAATAGTTCAAGCTCATGGTTACTTCTTTGCTACAGACATGGATGTTCAGGGAGCCCCTGTCACTTTGGAAGCTCTGAGTGAGGAGAACCGGAGTCCTATATCGACATGGTCTTCCTTGGCACGTTCGCGGCTGGCGAGTGGCATGGCTTCCTGGAGGCAAAGCACTAGGACGGTGCGGATGGCAAGGGCGTTGGCGAAGACTTCGACGGTCGCCTGAAACTATGAGCGAGGCAGAGCTTCGACAGTGGGAGGCTCGCATACGCAATGGGCACGTCCCATACAGTCGCCATTGTGCCACCTGCGTCCGTACAGCAGGGACGGGGAAGGCTCACAGGCGCACTCTTGCTCCTTCGGCTTACACCTTGTCACTTGACCTGGCGGGTCCATTTCGACATAGAGCTGAGTGCGCCGATGGAAGCGGTTTCCGATATGCTTTGGTTGGTTCCTACTGTCATCCTCGCTTAGAAGGTTTCAAGGACGAAGAGATCCCCGAAGCCCCAAATATCGACGAGGAGGAACCAGAGGACCCGTTCGAGCCGGCAGAGGATGACATGAACTTGGGGGCCAACCCCGGAGATGAGCGCCCTCGAGCACCAGTTGAGGAGGAGGACGAGTACCAGAAGGCCATGAACCAGAGGTTTCAGAACGTGTTTAAGGACATTGGGGACAACATTGAGTACCAAACCCTGCAGTACATGGTTCCCTTGAAGACTAAGACTGCTGCAGAGGTGTTCAAGGCCATACGCCACTTGTACTTGAGCATCCGGCGAGAAGGTTTGGTCATTGTTCGACTACATTCGGACCGAGCGCGGGAGTTCTGCACTGAGGAGCTCCGTGATTGGTGCGAGGCTCACGACATCATGCCAACTACTGGGGAGTCCCAAGCTCCTCAGCAGAATGGACGAGCTGAAGCTGCTGTTAAGCAGCTCAAAACAAGGGCTAAAACGCTTCTTCGAGCCAGCGGACTTCCTCCTGACTGCTGGGCCTTGGCTATGAGGTTTGCAGCTGCGAAGCAGAGAATGGCGGCACTCAACTTAAAGGATGACTCTGATGGCGCATCTTTTGGAGCTGTGGTGCACTGCAAGGCCAAGTTGTTTGGGGAGGGCGGTCGACATGATCTTAAGGAGACTTGGACCCAAGGCCGCTTTGTTGGATGGTCGGATGACGTGGCGCATGGCAAGGTCGTTCGTTTGGATAATGGGGGCTTCATCACCACAACCCACATCCGACCGTTTCTCATTGACGCTGATGACCTGGTGGCTTTGGATCCTTTGGAGGCCCATGTGCCGGTGCCTGAGAGACGGGTAAGGGGGAAAAACAACGTTGAGGAAGCTTCAGACCGAGCCTTCGGATGTTTCTGTGGAGGAGCTAGCTCGAACTTTACTTGAAGAAGATCGGTGCACCATTCAGGATGCTGTTGGGTTCTGGGAGGTTGCCAGAAAATACTCAACGCCCAGGGCAAGAGCATTCTTTCATGGCGAGCATCCCAGCTACTTCTCTACTGGTTTGTATGCGCACGGAGGCTTCACTGGGCTCCTCACGAACACGTACGGGTATCCCGTGACCACGGCCTACCTGACCAAGGTCTTCGAGAACTATGCTGGCCAGGAGACTTTTACTACTTTGACTGTGTCGGATGATGTTGGCATGCGCTGCCATAGAGATGTTCATAACGAGAGGAACACCGACAACATCCTGGTGCCGTTGATCGCAAGCGATGGAGGGGGCGTCTGGATTGAGTCGCTTCCTGAAAATCACCGATGGGATGATGTATGGAGGCAGATCCCAAATGGTGAATGGAGAAGAGGCCAAGTCCATGAGCTCAAGGCAGGATCTCCTTTGAGATTTAGTTCACGGCTGTGGCATGCAACAGAGCCCTGGGAAGGCCGACGCCTTTTGCTCATGGGCTATACCCCGCGCATGAAGGCCGTGACACAGCCCACATATGACTCCTTGCTGGATGCTGGCTTCAATCCTCCTGTGTTGAAGGGCCATGATTTTGTGACACCCACGTTGAGCATGATGAACCTAGCAGCGGAAGATGCTCGTGTGGACGCTGTAGTTTTTCTTGTACAAGAAGGGTCGCGCCGCCGAAAGGACAGACCTAATCAAGCCCTACGAGATGTACATGCCCTGCAAGAAGACATCCTAGCACGCCTTGGTCAACGAGCTGAGTTCCTGAATGATATCTTGGCCGAGGAGGAGATGCTGGCAAGTGAGTTGGCGGATGTGAGCCAGCTCGTCAAGGAAGAGGCTAATGAAGCCAAAGAGTTGGTCATGGACTTGCTCAAGGATGTTCAGTCTCAGATCGATGCGGTTCTAAGAGAGTCCTCGAACCACTTTCTTCGGGCAGCGTTCTTGGCTGAGGAGGAGAGCGAGGCCCTTGGAGATTTGGAAGCTTGGCTAAGCAGCTTGGAGGAAGATCTGGGAGTCACACTGACAGTACCCCTAGACCAAGTGAAGGCCAACTTAGAAAAATGGGTGGACTCTATTTCACAGGAGCTGTCCAACGTCGAGCGGGGCACGGGGGCTGTAGAACGCATTTCCTATGCCGCGGCCAGAGCCTTGGAGGCACAGGGCAAACTCCGTTTGATACCAGGCAAAATGGTCTTCACCGTGAAACCTCCTGCGGAACCTTCATCGACTTCGTCTACAAGAGCAAGATGGAAGAGAAAGTCAAGGTTGGTCATCTGCGGCAATCGTGTTGGGATCGATGCCGATCACACACGCGACCCTCTGTATGCGGCGGGTGCTTCAGCTGAGAGTCTGAGGGTAGCTTTGTGTTTGGCATCTGCAGCAGGTTGGTCGGCCGGGTCGACGGACATCACAGGAGCGTTCCTTCTTGCAGTTTGGCCGAAAGACAAGCCAACCTATGGGGTCATACCACCACGAATCCTCATCCAGGCCGGCCTGATCGACGAGAATACGGTCCTCCTTGTGAAAAGGCCGTTGTATGGCTTGAGGGAGGCACCAGCCCTGTGGGCAGCCTACCGCACCGAAAGGCTGAAGGAGACTAAGATCGAGTTCAACGATGGCGTCTTGGTTCTGCAGCCTTTGGTTTCGGATAGCGAGCTGTGGCTGATACTGTATGTATCTCCCGAGGCGGAGACCCCAGAGCTCTATGGCCTCATGGTAACGTATGTGGACGACATCCTGTACCTGGCCTTGCTTACAGTGATGAGGGCGGTTCATGGGGCTGTGTCAAGTATGTGGCCATGTTCGTCTCTTGAGCTGGCGACCAAACCTGGCGGTCTTCGGTATTTGGGTATGGAGCTTGAAGAGGAGGAAGGCGTGTTCGTTTTGGGGCAGCGAGGCTACATCGACAACCTCGCCAAAAGCTATGGCTTGGCAGCAGAGGCGGGAGGTGGCCTTCCATGCCCTAAAGACTGGCTGTTCGATGACGAGGACAATGCTGAAGAAGAAAATTTCTCCGAGGACGAATTGCGTCGAGGACAAAAAATAGTTGGAGAGTGTCTTTGGCTCGCCTACAGAACACGTCCAGACCTTGTCTTCATCACGAATTTTATGTCGTCAGTAGTCGGGAAGCGTCCATGCTTCACGACACGAATCGGCATGAAAGTCCTTGCCTACCTCAATGGCTCCGCTGGACTCCGAATCACCATGAATGGTGTTAGCGACGAGGTAAGCAGCAGCCATCAAGCAACACCACTTCAGCAACCTACTCATAAAGCCCCCTTCAGTGTTTCCTTAGTTGGCTATAGTGATGCTAGCTTTGCTCCTTTCGGAGGTAAAAGCTTTGGGTGTAGTGTAGCTGTTGTGGGACGGTCGCCGGTCGCTTGGAAAGCTGGAAAACAACCCTACGTGACCTTGAGTGTTTGAGAGGCTGAGCTGGTGGAAGGTTCGACATGTGCTTTGCTGCTGGAATCAGTTCAGGCCCTTCTGTCAGAAGCTTGTGGTTACGCTGGAGTTCCGCGACTGCTTATAGACAATGCTGCTGCTAGCAGCCTGCTTAACTGCTCTGTAGGCTCATGGCGTACAAGGCATCTGAGGGTGCGTTACGCGTACGTTGTGGACAAGGTTACGACCAATCAGTTGGAGGTGGCGCATGTTCCTGGCGAAAGACAGTTGGCTGATCTGCCAACTAAGCTCCATGGGAGATCACGATTGGTACAGCTACTGGACCTGTGGGGCATGTGCGGCATACCAGAACTTAGCCAAGCGAAAGTCCTTCAGCTGATTACTCTGTCGTGTGTTTTCTGCATGATGCTAGCGGTCCAGTCTTTGGGGGCATGGGGGGCAGATTTCTCAAAGGAACCATTGCCTTCGACCGGAGCTTGGGAGCTGACATTTGTACTTACCTTGTCATGCGTAGCCGCTGTGTTTGTTTGGGAGCTGATAAAGAGGTTTTTCAAATGGGTGCACAGTCTTTGCTGCGGTACTCGGAAGAGTCAACAGCTGCGGCGGCTGAGAGATATGGCACGCCTGGCGGCAGAAGCTGAGTTGGACCGAGCCATGGATGTGGCCAGCGAGGCAGAGATGCGTCAGGCTCGGTCGTCTGTGACACAGGTCGTTTTGGCATCACTGCAGTAGCATGGCCATAGCGTTTCTGTGGGAACTCAAACAAGTGAGGGTTGGCAAGTTGAGCGTGTTCGTGAGGTGCCCCGAGAAGTGATTGTGTATAGAGATGTCCCTAGGGATGTTCCAGTGCCACAGCAAGGAAGGCAGCTGGACCGCATCTTCATGTCGGAGCATGGAGGGCACGCTCACCTTAATGGGGACTGCAGAGGATTCAGGCTGGCTTCGTCAAGGGTACGGACATATCAGCTCTGCGATTTCTGTACGTCTCGGCAGACCGTGGTAGTTCAAGAAAAACCCCGCAGGGGAGTGTGAGAAGTGAAGGGTTTGGGGATCCGAAAAAATCCCCCGGCTGCCCAAGGCAGTTAAGTACTTGCATGACAGGTCTCAGCACAGAGTGCGAGGCTGCCACAACGCCTAAGAGGCCACGTTTTTGACACATCAGTCGATGAGCTGGCTCTCGAGGAGCTAGCTCAAGGAGGAGTGTTGATGTGTCGATCCGATGTGCATGCTGTTGTGGTTCCAGGTGGCTACGTAAACAAGCCTTGGGCCATGATGGAACATGTAGTGAAGCTAAGACATAGCTTTCGTTATCTTGCAGCTTGCGTAAAAGGAGTACTCACGCGTTTGTGCTGAGCCATGGACTCAACTTCCCGGTATCTTGCACCCGACCCTGTGGATTCAGGTCCCCTACCTTATCAAAATCTTATTAGAATATGCACAAAGCCATATTCTATGTACTTAAAGGGGACTATAAACCCTTGCCCCTGATGTTAATCATACTTACCCCCTGAAATTAGATCGGCTTTCCAATCAAGCCGGGCTCCTCTAGAAAAAGCTTCTCCGACCACCATTGGAACCTTATGCCATTCCTGGATAATCCCAAGAAATCCCCTTGCCAATCCCTGCAAAAGGTCATCTGTTTCTTTTGCTCCTGAGTAGTCCAAAGCCCAAGGCCCCAAGACCTCCTAACCCCAAAACTGTACACATAGGGTTCATCCTAAAATTCTGTCAAGGGCACTGAGGGGGATCTCTTGATCTGCTGGAGTCCCCCAAGTATGAAGTCAATAGGCATATCCTTAAGTATTTTGTTTGATAAATATGGGAATTTTGGAGTTCTGCCTCAGCACTAGTGCGCGGATCTCGTTTGAAATCTCACGGATCCAAAGCCCTCAGCGGAAGCCCAAAGCGGCTTAAGGTTTAGGATTCCAGAAGCATACCTGGCACGATGTCAACTTATTTATGTTCCCCTCCCTCCCCACAGAGTGGACGCATATACACTCATCAATATTCCTAAGCAACCCGCAATACAAGCACGCCAAAGTCATGACACAAAATGATTCAACCAATCCCTACTTGAATGTACACCCCTCCGTTTTCCGTTTTCTCGTACATTTGATTCTCCCCCTGCAAACACCTCAGAAGAACCTTCTTGTCGCCTGAACCCTAGACTCCAACCCCTCAGCCTATCCCTAAAACCTACACCCCCTGCAACCTTCCTAAACCCTAAATCCTACTATTGGTAACCATTCCCCAGACCATTTATCCCTAGTAATCCTTGGAGGGATCTTATTCTCATTGGACAAGGCCGGAAGCTGAAACGGAAGGCAAATTTGAGCCTGAAGCCCTAAAACCCTAAACCTTATACCCTAAACCCCAACTAAATCCAGAACCCTACACCCTCAATCCTAAACCCTAAACCTTAAACCCTAAATCCCAAACACTAAATCCTAAACCCTGAACGCTAAACCCAAAATCTTCTGAGCCACTGCTTCGCGTAGAACTGCACAGGGAAACGAACCTGGGACAGGCCAGGGTTTAGGGTTTAGGGCTAGGGCTTCAGGGAACATAATTACCTCCAGAGGGTTTAGGGCTTAGGATTTAGGGTTTAGGATTTAGGGTTTAAGGTTAAGGGCTTCAGGGTAAAGAATCACCTCCAAAGGGTTTAGGGTTTAGGGAGGGCGGACTAGGGCATATGGGGAGAAGATAAGGGTCCTATAGGGACCTCCAGGCTTGGGGTTTAAGGCTTTAGGCCTCAGGGATGTTTAGGGTCCGGGGTTTAGCGTTGGGGCTTCCGCCTTGCCCAAAGGATCCATGAAAGGATCTGCTACGTACATACTTTCAAAAGGGTACCCATATACCTACCTTGAAGCCCAAGTATATACCCTATACCTGGATGGACCCTTTGGGTTGTAGTCTGCAATGTAGGGACCCTAAACCCTAAGCCCTACACCCTAAACCGCGTAGCATAGTTTTTTAAACTGTTGAAGGCTGACCAAGAAGGCCGAAAATGCTGAATGCTGCCCGCTGACTCGGGCCTGCTTTCGTTGTTGTCCGGAAACCTTTCCTACATCAACCTGCCCAAAGGGTCAGCGTAGGAATATATTATATACTTGTAGACTTAGTAGGGCCTAAGTGTATACAAGTTACCTACATTGACCCTTTGGGCTAGACCCTGTCAACAAGGGCAAAAATTCAACCAACAGCTGCTGATGTGAGTACATAGGTTCCTCTAGGTAATGCTCAAACAGTTCTTCCAAACGACCTGGCTCTTCTCAGCTCTTCGGGGCTCGGGGCCAAGAACCAAGCATCGTAAGGTTTGGAGCACGCTGCGCTTGTTCCCAACATTAGACAAGAAAGCCTAAGTTCCGCCTCCCAGGGTGATAACAAATAGCAAAAACACCGTTGCACCTCCAGTGCAACTTGCGGCCACATTGGCAGCTCCACACAGTATACCTTCCTGTGTGAATACATCATGAGCAGGCTTGGTGGCAGTTCATTGCGGCCAGGCCCTTTCAGCTATGTGTGGCTGAAGATATGATTTCTGAAGACAGCTGCCCCTTGAACTCATTCATCATCAGAATCAGACCTACTTTGGTCGAGGCTGTCAATTATGAACATGAAGCGAAAGCACTACCAGAGACCGGAGACTACGAATGCAAGGCAGTGCTATATAACCCGGCAATTTTAATGTCACATCCGCTTTCAGATTTCTTTTAATTCTGCCTGTTATTCTTCATGATGTCCAAAATCACTCTTGTGGTCTTCTTGTCTTGGCAATATACTGGGTACGTAGTCTCGAACCCATATACACAGCCCCATAAGTACTGCGATCTATTTACCAGCAAATTTGACTTGGGGACATGCTTTCCTACAGGCGAGGTATGCCTGTAGTGCGTTGCGGTGCCTGTGCCCTAGATACCTGAAGATGGTGCCGCCGGGTTTCCACATTCCTCCGCACGATGCACACCCAAAAGGTCCATGCAGCTGTATAGTGTATACTTGGGCCCCAAAGTAAGTATATGGGAAACCCCTTGGGCCCTAAGACACATATTAGCTTCTAGGATCACACCGCCTTGCAAGGCACCAGCCTGCATTGCTGAAGCGCAGTCACATCCTGAAGCTAGTGAAGAAATATTGGATAACAAGAATGTTGTCACTTTCGATTGAGGGCTGAAAGCTGCAAGCCCTACACTCCAGACTTAGACACTCAACCCTGAGCATATTAAAACCCCATGCCCAGAACTCTAGCCCCCATACAGGGTTGATGTTAAGGAACTTAAGTTGAGCTACTCATTATGCTAACTTACTTTAAGTTCCTTAACAGCAACCCAGTATGCCTACGTGGTATTCATCCCCTCCCCAACCAAAATCCAAGAAAAGGCCAGGCAACAGCCTGATTCGTAGCCTGCTTCGCGATGGTTGGAGCCAAGCCCATGTAGAGGCCCATTGGGCCTTCTCACACGAACAGCGGTAGGATTGCGTGAAGCCGGGGAGGATCTGGCTTCATGGGGATTGATTATATAGGGATAATGGAAAAGAAAATGGAAACCACTATATTAGAATGGGGTATATATATCTACACATATATTCTTGGAATGCGTCACATGACATCAGATGAAACCTAGAAGAAACGGTTCAGGGGCTATTGCCTCGTTCTGAAAGTGCTGGGAGATCTACAACCCATGCCTAGCAGTATTGCGCAATAGTTTTCGATTACGCCCAGCACCAAAAACTCAGCGCCACCTTAAATCCCCAAAACATAGAGACTCTCCCAGGTACAGCTTTTGAGCCTTATTCAGAACCCTAACTCATGCGAAATGCAAGACCCACACAGAACTTCTGCGAAGGGTGTCCAATTTCGAATGTGGCAAGGCTGAGCCCAGGGGTTTAGGGTTTAGGGTCTAGGGTGTGCCTCCATGATATTGACTGCCAGCCCCACCGAAGCCCTCAAACCCTCAACCCTCAAACCCCAAACCCTTTTTGCATCTAGCCTGCAACGCCTCTGCTGGAAAAAGTCAGGGGAAGTATGCTCAACACCACTCCCTCCTTAGCAGCATGCTCAGCACATTTGCACGTCTCGGCCTACATATCCAGAAGAACCAACCCCAAACCCTAAAACTCCAACACCCTCAGAACCTAAACCCTGAAACCCTCAAACCCTAAACCCCTCAACCCTACTCAGACTGAGTAAGTGAATAAGGTCGGGTCAAAGGATGCAACAGAAAGGCAGCAGGAATCTTTCAAGAGGACCCTGGGACCCTTGCATCTAGCTGCCTGAGTACTTACTTATAGGGTTCCGTTTAGAGGGGATATATGGGTTACATAGGAATGTATAGCGTTGTGGGTTTGGGGATGATTGCCCCAACAATGGAGAATCAAACCACGAGACATGGAGTACTGCAACCTGGGCTTATGAAAGGAAAGGATGCCCGGGCATCAATGACTATAGTCCCCATTATGTAGACAGAATATGGCTTTGGGTACATTAGAATAAGACCCCCAGTAAGAAGGACTATACTTATATATCATGCTTAAGGTTTTTGTTGAGGTGCTCTGTGCCAGACTCATTTAAAAAAAAAACCTGGGACCATATCATACTTGAGATTATCCCTCTAAACACACCTATAATTTCAACGTGAGTTTCATTTTCTGTTTTCCTTTTCACGTGATTCTCCACTATTGTGGCTATTCAGGCCCCTGTCCTAAACCCTACGCTGACCCTAAACCCCAAA